CAACGCTAGCGAGTGCTGGCCGGACTTCGACCTCGGAGATGCGGTCTGCACAGAGGGCTGCGGCCTCCAAGTTGCTCTCGTTCTGGCCGGCGAGGAAGCTCTGCACGTTGCGGGGTAGCCGGCTGGTCCAGAAGCTACGGATGACGTTATCAGACACGTCTGGTGCGAGACTTTTGAGGTACCTCAGGATCTGGGACGGCTTACGATCGCCAATTTCCTCGACCGTGAGGAGTTGCCGGATGCGCTGCTCTGGCGATGGGGATAGCCGCCTCACAAGCTCGGTCCTCAGTAGGGTGTAGGGGCCTCGTTCGGGTGGAGAGGTGATGATATCCTCCACCTCTGTGGCGTACCGGTTGTCCAGCTGTGAGATGACGTGGCAGAACTTGATGCGCTCGCTGCTAATGCCGGCCAAGGTGAATTGCGCCTCGACCTGGGCGAACCACACGGCTGGTCGCTCGGGCCAGAACGGCTGGAGCCGCACGGCAATTCTTGATGTCTCTGTTGGTACTGGTCTGCTAGTAATACCAGCCTCATGCTGTTTTTCTTCCAGTTGTGTTACGTACTGTTGCAGGAGGTCTTCTATTCGGCCGCTGTCCATTATTTGTGTTGTATCACGTCGGGGTCACCAATGTGGGATGTCGTATGAATGAATAGACAACCACTAGTTGAACTGTCCTATAGGATTTATTGCAGCTGCACAGTATACACAGATGGATAACAANAACTGCTTGAACACTGAACTGGTATTGTAGAACGGTAGAACTAGACTGTCACTGTAACTCAGTGTATCTTCTTATGTAGCCTAGATCGGACATATAGAAAACGGTTACGTAATAGGTACTGCTATTGCCGGTTACCGTATTTATAAGTTCCCTAGCAACCGCTGTTTACTTGCTTCTGCCTAGCAACCGTTGTTTACTCGTTGCTGCTAAGCAATGACGCTTGCTTTGTCACACTTGCTTGAATGTGGGCAGTTCCCACACCACTATATAAATCTGGAGACGATATTGAAACTGCAGTGAGGCGTTGATCGAAAGAACATGACAATACTTTCATGGCCTTATCTCGGTATAATCTGCCCAGTCTCCAAAGTCCATGTACAAAGATACTTTACATTATGTAAAGTAAAGACTGTATATTGCATGACGAATAGTCAGTGTGTTGCCTCATGACCTGCATGTGCCTTGTGAAATAATTTCTAATTTCCCGTCTTTTGTACTGTTTACGAGGCTCGACTTTTGTGACGCAGATTTAATGTCTGTTGCAGGCGATCGCCGTGACTTGAGACTGAACCCGAAGGTTTACGAAAAAGCCGTAGGGTTACTGAGGAACAATTCAGAGTTCACCGTGGCGGCTTCCCTGCGTCAGGAAGAATCCAATGTTGGCACCATCGTGTCTTTTGCCCATGGCACTAACAGGTTAGTTGCAGAGCGAGGTACTATTGGAAAGTCATGTCGGAAAAGCTCTTGTGTCCAGGGTATTAACATAACAACTTCTAACATGAAAAAATATATATATATGGAGGATATGAAAGAAAATGATGTTACAGGACACATAGCTTTATATACATGGATATATATGGATATGAAAACTACTAAATATGAGTTCAGATCGAGGTTGTATCGGAAAATAATAGTACATAGCAAGCATACATTTCGCTGGTATATATTTCGGCTCTCTTCCGTTCGTGTCCGCAACTGCCATCAGATCTACCGTCTTCTGCTACTAGCTCATAAAAACAGCAATTGCCTTATGTAGTCTACCTTCATAGCCGTTTCGTAACTTTTTGTTAACACACCTAGCCATTGAAGGAGCCGCTCGGTCGGCTTACCGACTCTCTACGGGCTGGACGACCGAGGGATCGATTTCGAGTCCCGGGAAGGCCAAGAATTTTGTCTTCTCCACTTCGTCCAGACCGGCTCTGAGGATCACCCAACTCCTACCCAATGGGTGCCGGGGATATGTTCTCGGGGGTAAAGCTGCAGGAGCGTGGAGCTGACCACTCACCTCCAGCTAATGCGGAGTTCAAGAAAATATGGATCTATACATCCACTCCCCACTACTCATTCATGGCGTAATTAGTTAAGCACAGGGACAACTTTACCTTACATAGCCATCGAAGAGCAAACTTTAAATTTTCGTATCTAACAATTGAATACGTGAACCCGAAAATGACGAAAGAATGCAGTCGGAGAAGCATCATCTCGATAAGCAGTGCCTCATGTTAAAGCCTCTAAATATTTTCAGTTTCTAGGTGGGGACATACGTGTACTCGCGATAACACAAAAGTCTTTTTATTTGTAACCTGTAATGGAACCGTTGAATCGCTGCGTGATACGTCAACGTTTGTGTTCGTGACTTCGATTAGACCTAATCACATTCTCGGTTCTCCATATTTGCCTCTAGACTTTCTTTCGTTTGTGGCATTTTATGAACACATTCGCAATCCCGACATCATTATGACCAACACGGCAGTAACTTCGGATCAATAAATTCGATATTAACTCACGGAAACCTCCTGGATTTTGACCAATTCCATTTACAGGATATCCGGATGAAAGGTATCCAAAATAAAATAATTATATCTCAGAAATCTTTTATTATACACATTTATGGGTTACACCATTACAAAGGGAAAATATCAAAGTTTTTTCTGAATATAAAACTTTTTCAATAAATTTCAAAGTGGGCTCCCTTAGTGGCACGACAAATATCAAGACGATCCAGCATGTTTGGTGTTACCGTAGCCACAACCTCACTTATGCAGGCTTTCAGTTGTCGCAGGCCGTTGATCTTAACCTGGTAGACAATGTTCTTCACATAACCCCACGGGGAAAAATTCAGTGTGGTTAAATCTGGCGACCTAGGAGGCCAAGCAATTGGTCCACTTCTGCCGATCTATCTCCCAGCCATCACTGTGTCCAAGTGATTCTTGACATGGTGGCAGAGATGTGGCGGCGCATGCGCGTAACTAGGCATGAGAAAAAACTTGAGTGGTTTCCTTTCCGATGACATCAACTGGATACGTGTATGACAATTACTTTCCGAGATATAATTTTTCTTTTAAATTTTGGATACCTTTCATCTGAACACCCGATATTAATAAGTCCGGAATTTACCAGCAACAATCAGACCACTGGAAATCGAACTTTTACTATACATTCTTCAATTTCTATCGCCATATTGCTTAAAACCTCGCAATCCGGAGATAATTAATATTTGATCCAGTATCTTGGCTAGTTTTTCAAAATCGAATCTCACGATGAATGTTCGTCACTGTACTACCGCCACTGACGTTCACTTATAAGATTTCACCCGAAGAAATGCGGCAGCATTCCGGATTAAGCTTCTCAACTTAGTTAATGTCAACGTGACTAGTCTTTATGGCCGCATATTGCAGTAGTGCCTATAGAGGAAATCCCCAGCTTACAAGGTTAATTCGTTCGAAGGTTTCCGTGTATGTTGAAAATGGTGTAATTCGAAAAATACTCAAACACGATATTTTTTTATGTGTACTTTCGTTTCAATGTATAGCTAAAGCTATAAAAGTATGTACTATAAATATAGTACATAACGACACGTCATATTATAATGTATTATGGTATGTAAGCGCAGTATACCCGGAACTAATTGCCGTAAAATTCGAAGTATCTGACCTTTATAAATGTATCCGTGTAGCTATTGATTCTTCTAACTTCAACCAGTGTGAGTTGGGGTCTTACTCTCTCTCTCTCTCTCTCTCTCTCTCTATGGCTCTGGTCGCCTTCGGACCTTGCCCGCTTTCTTAATTTCTTAATCCTATACACAGTCGGTACTACTCCTTAGACGGGTGATCATCTCGTCGCAAGGCCGCTACCTATACACAGGCCGACACAAACAGAATAGACGCACACAGACATCCATGCTTCGAGTGGGATTTGAACCCACGATCCCAGCGTTCGGCCGGGCGAAGGCTCTTCGTGCCTTAGGCCGCGCGGTCACCGTGATAGGCACTTACTACTTCGGAAAAATAAGTTCATCTGTTCCCCCCCTCCCCCGCAAAATATATTCATCCATTCATGAGCATACATTATTCAGTGATGCATCCTTTTTGCATGCATCCATACAGCCGGGCAAGATGGTCTAGCGGTAACATTGCTGACTTGTATTCGCAAGGTGCCCTGTTCGAATCTCGGTCGGAACACCGACTACAGAGGCTGAGGTTTTTCGTGGGCCTCCGCAGTCCCTCCAGAAAAGTAACTGTATACTTACTTACTTACTTACTTACTTACTTACTTATGAAGCTGAGCCCTTCTTGAGAAGCCGCCAATTATGCAGCCACTAAAGAATTTCCTAGCATTTTATGGAACCCGAAGGTTCATTACAGTGTTCACAAGAGCCCTCCACTGGTCCCTATCCTGAGCCAGATCAATCCACTCCATCCCATTCTATCTCTCCAAGATCCATTTTAATATTGTCCACCCACCTACCCCTTGGTCTTCCCAGTGGTCACTTTCCTTCTAACTTTCCCACCAACATCCTAAATGCATTCCTCTTCTCATTCGTGCTAAATGCCCTGCCCACCTCTTTCTCCTTGACTTGATCATCCTAATTATACTTGGAAGAGCAGCTGCATAGTGCCTTGAATTATGCCCTGCTGCTTCCTTACTCGTCTTTTTCCTTCCATTATCATCGAGCCATTAAACACTGTTTCGCCAGCGTCGTTAAATTATCTACAAATAAATAAGCCCCCATGCATTCATATATACAGGTCTGCAACTACAGAATAAATCCACTGAACATATACATAAGAAATATATTCAGATAGTCAAGGAACTACGTGTGGAACCCGCAGGTGCATCGCCGTGTTCACAGAAGCGCACCTTCCGAATGTGCTCCGAGACAGTCCAGTCCTGTTAATTTAATAACCAGTTCTAGCCGCAAAAGTTGGCACTAAACTTCGCCGACAAGCGACGGTCGCTCGGTCGGTATAGTTCGCTTGCGGACTAAAATCACGGATTTTTTTTATTAGCATTCCATCTACAATTTCATTCCCTAAATGGTCTCTTTCCTAGAAGTTCTTAACTGAAACTGTGTTTTCATTTCTGTTAACGCGTGTATTACAAGTACCTGCAACACCATTCATCGCCTTGTAATATCTCCAGCATGTATTCTGCGCTATACGATATTTGCATATGAAAAATGTCATCGAAAGGTGCGAGTTTAAGAAAGCGAATGGCAGAAAATAAATAAATGCACATACTTTTTCATGTAAAACCGATTTTACATGCTTTCGAGTTGGTGAGTCTAATAACATTTAATTTGGGGCAAAATTTTACCATGTATCTCTTCGGTATACAATTCCTCCAGCCTCTTTCTCAACTCAGATCCAGAGTTCTCCAGTAACTTGCAATTTTCATTGTCGAAAACCTTCCATACTTTCACAGCGGTGGCTATGAAGAATACCGGTATCCTTCTTTATATATTTGTAGGTTACATGAATTTATTGTTATTCGGTAGATTATGGGTCGCTCATTTTACAACCTGGGACATGTGCACGTTATGTAATATTTGTTTAATTTCTTCATATGCGTCTGACAAATCACAACTTTCTAGTATCCTGAAATATACATATTTCAAAATTTCTTGGAACTTGTAAATGTGGTGCAATAATTACACAGTCTTATTGTTTAGATACATCGCTTCCAGAGACGATTAAATTTTAAACAGTATCGATGAAGTTCTTCATTCGCCGAGAAAATCGACACTCCGAGTTTTGGCCCCTAGTGAGCCAGCCGCTATCGTACCGAACTTTCCTCTATGCAGTGTTAATTAGGGTGAGGGTAGCCATAAGTTAATACAGTTTCATAAAAATCGTTGCAGTCATTTACGAAAAAATCTCCATATTGCTCACTGAATCCTATATGAAGCGCCTCTATGTTTGCAGCTGGAATATTCATATTCACTGGGCTCTGACATATAATGGACAAAATCTGAAATACCGGTTTGTAACGTAAACTTCGAATATTGTACTTAATCAAAATGAGGTGAATAGTTTTGGCGATGAAATTTGTGGGTGTACTGACAGCAGATCTCTCGACTATGCTTTCACTCACGTCGTAAAAATAAACCATAAATTTACTGTGGCGGCATATCAGCTTATCAGAATTTCTGGGCTTTTGGTCTTTGCCTTTGTCCGGTATTCTAAAAACTAGAAAAGACGTTTCGGACACTTGGAGATCTGTTTCCGTCCTCAGGTGAGGGGGAATACACCGACTCAGTTGGGTCCCTTAGACAGAGCTAATCTCCGTCACTGGACCGGTAATTGAGGCTAGGTCTTTCCAAGGGACCCAACAGAGTAGGTGTCTCCCCCTCACTGACCTGAGGACGGAAACAGATCCAGTTTCCGAAACGTTGGGTTCTCTAGTTTTTCAGAAAACCGGACGATGGATAGAGTCCAAACCCCCAGTAATTCTGAGTGCTACACACCATCCTCATAGCCCGTTTGAATCTACTTTAAGCTTGTATTAAGAAGGCACCAGGTTCGGATATCAGCCGGGTTGGCGGCTGCCCTTAATTTTCTTCATTTCCTTCCCTCAGTTTAGTAAATGTAATTTATACTATGTCCGCTTCATCTCATATCCGTACCTGCTTATCTCCATGATTATCACCCCTTATTATTCCGCACTGTGAAACTTCTGTACTTAAAACAGCAACGTTAAACCTTTGCCATATCAGCAATGGAACACTTCGCTAAAAAGACTGCGTGTTTATGTTCTGAAAAAGCCTGCATCTTAAAACACACGTGAAAGTAATCTCTTCTGAAATTTCTTACCAATTATAGATTTTCAACAATGAAAGTTGCAAGTTACTGGACAACTCTTGACCTGAGTTGAGAAGGAGGCTGGAGGAATTATGTACTGAAGAGATACATGGTCTAATTTTGCCCGAGACCAAATACTGTTAGACTGGTCAACTCGAAAGTATGAAGCAAGAATAGGAGATATCAGAAATGCTTAAAAGAAATTAGTTGGGATTGTATTCTGCCGAGTTATGATACCGTATATATTTGATAGTTGTTACCGGAGTTTCGGAAGAATTTTTTGCCTCCGACTTTAGGATAGAAGATGGAAGAACCAAGTTCCTGCGAAACGGACATCGCCACATTTAGAAGACCAGGCTACTACGTGTAATTTTCATAGCCGTAAAAGCCATTAATATGTAGAGAGATCAGAGAGAACACATCAAGAGAAGAGAGCGCTTGGGAGACAGGGCCGTAGACGGGACGACACATGCAAATTTCTAAACAAATATGATATATATATATATATACATGTCCGTCACTGTAGCCGAGCGGTCTGAGGCATGCAATGGCTTCTCTCGCTTGTAAGCCG